TGTCGGGCGCATGTCCAGTAAGTAAAATTGAGTAAGTTTCCACAACGTAGGTCCTATTTGTTTTTAATTTCGTTTTCCAGAAGATTTGTTGTTTAAAAGGTAATAAAAATTCACACCGTTCAAACTAACTGAACGAACCCGGGTATGTTATACTACAGTACCTACCGATTCTCAGGCATTCAAATAAAAAAAGGTTGGTCATTCGATTTTGGCTTTGAAGGCTATCTGATCGACTCTGGTCCGTTTTGCCGATTTTATGTCTAGAAAATCAGTTTTCCTTTCCCAATTTAATTGCAAAATAGTTTTCTGGACCTAAGCATTTGTTTGCTGATGTGAATTTGGGAAAAATCGTGGAAAATATTGAAGTTTTTCCTTCGAAAGTTTACTTTCGACCCGTGGGCCGAAAGTAAATGAAATTTTTAAAATTTATTGTATTTTTTGACTTTTACTTTCGGACTACGGGTCGAAAGTTTACTTTCCTACCGTGGTCCGAAAGTAAATGAAATTGTTAATTATTGTATCTTTTAGTTTTAATTCAAATAAAAATTTCAAAATTCGAATGATTGTAAATAAAATAGTATACACATACCTCGGTGAAAAGTTTCATTACTGTTTCGAGATTTTAGTTGAAATCTCTCGGCAGTAATGAAACACTTTCCACCTCGGTATGTAATATACTATTTCACCCCTCTCAAAAATTGACAATTTCCATCTTAGGTATATTACAGCCCCAAGACCCCCATGAAAACGTCTTGCATGTGTTAATCCAATTTTGTTTGTGTACAAATTAACTCAATAAATAAATGCAAGACGGTGTATAATTATATATTTTCCTTGTTTATGACGACATTTTCTGAAACATTCTTTTCACCGAAATCCCCCACTCCCATCTATTTCCCTGCACAAGTGAGTTTCAGTACCATGTTATCTAACTGATGATAACAATGCAAGACGGTGTAAAATGATTGGATAAAATGGGCCTCGTATCCCGTACTATTTCTAGCTAAGCCCAGAGACTTGATTTTTCCTTCGCCAAAACCTTTGATCCACATGTCAATTTGTCAGACTTCAATTTCATGTTTTCAGCATCTGATAATCTCAGCATTGCATTGTTTACCTAAGTCTACATAAGATTTTATGCTGTTTTCATTGACAGTTGGGCGTTGGCAGTTGCTTCCTGAAAATACTTCAAATTTTGCTCTTTTATACCACTATTTTGTGAGTTTACCGCTATTGCGCTATTGCTAAGGTTGATTCTGGGCAAGGTTCCTAAAGTTGATAGGTCGTCTGGTAATGGTAAACCGCGGACGTCATCAGGAAGATCTAAGTGAGATTTGCATTATGTTTAGGCAACCAGATGACGTCATAAAAACTTATTAGGAAACCTACCTTTTTCAAAACCTTGGATTCTGGGAGCAATATTTCGATATGTGCCTATCCATATTTCTTACATTTGAAACAAAGGGGTAAGTATCTCGAAGAGTGCTGACCCTCTACTCTGATGGTATTCAGGGGCGGATTAACCATAAGGCGGAACTGGGCAATCGCCCAGGGGCGAAAAGTCAAAGGGGGCAAAAAAAAAAAAAACCTCAAGAAAAATAAGAGGAAAAAAATCAGAAAATTAGACAGCAAAATGACAAATACTGGATTTCCTACACAAAATATGACAAAATGTTGAACTTATTCGGATTTTTTGAAAAAATTGTCACATTATCAAACAAAAGCTCATCGACTTAAGGAGACCTATAAGAGCAAAGAGCCTATTCAATATAATTTTTTTCTGATTTTTAGTGGACACGATGATACGAGAACTTCTACAAATTTTAAATTCTGAAAAACTAATCTCGACATTTCGTCATTTCCCAATATCGAGGTAGAACTGAGAATATAATAAGGAATGAGGCTATTAGTCTTGACTCATCTTTGATTTTTTCTTGATTTCTTATTAAGTACTATACAACTTAGATGCGAAATGTGTTAATCTTCACCATTATCCTTTAATCAACCATCCAAGGACCTTTTTTTTCAGTTATACGTTATACATGTAAACCCCATACTTTGTGAGTGGCTTGCTTACATCAAGTCCGACAACTTTTTCCTCTAAGACTTTTCTCGGAAATGGCACGTATGCGCGCAGGCGACTCGCAAACATGTCGATCTGAGGTAGCTACATATGTTTCCTAATACATGTAAATCTAATTTTACGAATAATGTTTGATTTTTATGTCTAAATCACGGAAATCAACTTGGCCGACAAAAATAATGGCAAATTAGAGGAGTCTGACACCCCTACAAAATGTCGATCTGACGATCCATTTAATGTCCCGTGTCCTTGTTCCTCTTGGTACTTCAGGGTCATGTTCCTCATTCTCTTCTTCTACAATTTCTTGGTTCATATTTTCTTCTTCAGTTTCGCCATCGCTATATTCCATTTCATCATGCCTTAGGGGTAATTCTCGCCCCCTTGCTTGATATAAATTCCTTTCATCGACTAACGCGTGGAGAGAGATCCTTTTCCACCCTAAGCAGGATTAAAGAAAACACACTTTCAGATGAAAAGACAAGTGATCTGGCACTAATCAATGTATCTCATGCTATTTTCACAATACTAAGTATTTGTCTTTTTTATATTACAGAATCTTCAAATGAAGAAATAAAATATAGTGATATAAGCCAGAGCCTGGAAGGGGGCGAAATGATTTTAATGTTCTGTGCGCAGAGGGGCGAAAAGACTTAATCCGCCCCTGATGTTATTACCAGTTTGTCGTAGCGTGGTGTCTTATCTACGTCATTGCTCAATGTCTGTGGTGCCTGGTTCTGCTTCCAACTTGTTTTCATGTTTATTCGTGTTTTCCTTATTCAAATTAGTTCTATTAAAGTTACCTGCTCTATGAATGCCAGTAAAACGCTGCTGACGCCTACTTTCAATAATGTCTGCGTAGCTGTGCAAGTTTTGAAATATTGCATCTGTGCTATAATGCCCACATTATTGCATCACACAGTGATCGAGACTGTAACCCAATAAGCACTTGCTCTTTGATTTCATCTATTTCTAGGCCTAAATCAGTGCATAACTTTACTTTCTCATGAAAATATGAATTTAAACTTTAATTTTTGCCCTGAACTCTGCTCTCCATTTTCTTAAATTTCACTACCAAGCTTTTTTCAAGTGAAAATGTAGCATTATTGAACTTGTCTGCAAAATCTTTCCATTTCAGAATCTCATTACGCTCAGTCAAATACCAATATTAAGTTCCTTCTATTAACCTCGTTCGTGCTGTTTCCAGCATGTAGCTGTCTGGAATTTGGTGTGCACACTATTTAATTTGTCCAACCACAAAAGTGCCCTCGAAGGGGTTCCATCAAAATTCTCAATTCCTGGGTACACAGAAATACCTTGTGAGTGTTCGGGGGCTATGAGGTGATCACTATGTTCCGAGTTCCGACAAAGCTCATTTAAATCAACAACTTCTACCTGTGTATCTTCTGCGTTTCTAGTGCGTGTTCCTGTTGGAGTACCACCGCTGAAACCGCCTCTGGAATCATGAAAATCGTCTCTTTCTTCGTCACTCATTTTACGCCACTTTAAGTTCACTTTTCGTCTCAACTTCACAAATAACTTCACGATTTCACGTCTCTACAGTTTTACGTGAAAATTTTTCAAAAAGAACTCTGATCGCTGGTCTCCTAACAGAAAAGTATTGTTATAGAAAGTAGGCTTTCGCAAGACCAAGACCAAGACTGACCAGTCTTAGTCTTGGTCTTGATGTTTCAAGACCAAGACAAGACTGGCGCAGTCTTGGTCTTGGTCTTGGTCTTGAAAAAAATTTATACCTACCAAATTTTCAAAATATACATAACATATAACGACAGACCAGAGATAATGGATTTAGGACTTCAGAAATAAAAAAATAAAACTCCCTTTCTGAAAAAATTATGCCGACGTTTCGACCATGCATTTGGTCTTCTTCCGGGATATTTTTACCAGCAAGAGCGTTTCATGTCAAAAAATACCGCATTAAGAGGAACAAATTACTATCAATTCTTAAATTATTAGAATGTTTATTAACGGAACAGGAAAATTGACAAACACACCATAAAATTGCCATTCTGTACCAAGGAAAAAAATTAATTTTTGTCTGAACCATAAGAATAGACCTATCTTACCTACCTGAGAATTCAGGCCAGACAAAGGTTTTCGAGAACCCTCTCGCGTGAATTTGAAAAAAATAATAAATTTGATGAATTGATTCAATTAAAAGACATTAAAAGAAGATTATAGAAATTTGCGTATTTTCATAAATATTAAGTCGCGACTTTTCTTTTCAAGACCAAGACCAAGACGAGAGTCTCGAGAGAGAGTCTTGGTCTTGGTCTTGAGAAGACTTATTCGGTCTCGGTCTTGGTCTTAATCTTGCTACCAAGACCAAGACAAGACCAAGACTAGTCTTGTGGTCTCGCGAAGCCCTAATAGAAAGGGACTGTACAAGAAGCGAATACTGAAGTCAACTTTGCTGTTTTGCTCTACAATTCTGAGTAGATGTAAAACGGAATATATTATGAGCTTTAGATTTAAACATCCTCAAACCTAGTTGAAGTGTTGAAAAGAAGCACAGAATTGCAAAATTAATCAATAAGGCTTTAAGAAGCCTCATTTCCAGTTAGAAGAAGTAGAGCAGCCAAAATTTCAACTCATTGTTTATTTATTTTACAACTGTATATAGTGAAACTGTTATAATTTTGAAAAAGATTCTCAAGGGTGTATTAAAAAAGAAAACATACAATCCTATTTTCAGGACACGTACCGTTAATGCCATTGTGTCCACGTGAAGACGGATTTTCCTCTATGAGACACGTGACAATGCCATGTTTTTATGCCCTTAGTAAGTAAACACGTAAAAAGGACAATTGCACAGAGCGGCGCATAATATCAAATTTCACCCTGACCTGAAGGAATCGAATAAAAGTCAAGGAGTTAAAAAAATATATATATATTTAATTTAAAGCTTTGAAGTTATTTTCCACAATACTAGCTCCTTGCACCGATCGTATTTGAAATACTGTGGAAAATCTGTAGTGATTTCTTCGATTGAAACGTTTTTTAAAATTTTTAGTTTTTCCAAAAAGTAATCGTAGCATGGAGCACAAGTATCACAGTCACTGATGGTGAAAACGTAACGTTTTTCTAAAGCTATCAAAATGCTACGTTTAGGTGGAATGTCTAAGAGTTTTTGGACGGTTTTCACAAAGGCTTCAGTTAGACTATCATCATAAACAACTAAAAACCATTCTATTATTATAACTTTTAAATTAATAGTATTTCTTACCGTCAGCTGCTATCACAGTATTTATTTTAGGCAACAAAGAAACAATCCTCTCAGACAAATTTTGGCTCATAAAATCTAACTCCAATACATCAACAGGATACTTAGAAAAGTGCTTATTTCTATCAACATTTGCTCGTATTATTTTGAAAATATCACCCCTATCAATATCTAAAACAACCAAAAATATATATTACATAAATCTATTTGAGTAAACTCTTACCAGTACAAATAACAGGACTAAACATTGAAGCCACAATCGAAGTAAGGCCTACTCCAGTGCCTAATTCTAGAATGTATTCGTCTTTTGTAAATGCCTTACCATTATGGAGCAGCCAGTCAGCTAGTAACAGAGCTCCACGCCATATTTGTAGACCTACCATGTTTAGAGTTGTGCAGTAACTATGTTCTGAAATATTTACGATTTTATCTAAGCATAAATGCGGTATGTCTTTATACCTGAATAAAACCAATCAACGATAAAACTCAAGACATGCACTCACTTTGTTAGGAGTCAGAAAGGGTCTCGCAAAGCAATTTTTAACTTCCAGAAACAACAAATCAAGTTGGGAAAATTTGCTTTCCAAGGCTTAAAAGAGCTTTCAAGGCATGGAGCAAGTTTTCTGGTTTGTGGAAGCATGAGAAGAGCCTTGTACAGAAATTTCTCGCTTCCAGAAACAGAGACAAAAACCAGGTTGAAAAAATTTGCTTTCCAAGGTTTAAAAGAGTTTTTGAAGGATTTACCGGATACATTGCTTTATTTAGGTACTTGGAAGTTACGTTTTGAGTGACTCAAGAGACTTTTTCAGTTTATAGCTTCCAAATGCAAAAACCAATTTTCTACTAAAATTTCCTGACAGCCTATTGCATGCACCAAATATAGGAGAAGCACATTTCTGACTCTCTGGTGAAGGTTCAAAGAGGTTATAGATCAATGATTATTTTTACCTACCTAATTCAATAAATTCATTGTCCGATTTTTTCCTAGGCACCAGCATATCCCCCTCTTTATCTTCAATGCTGTAATTGGGTAGTTTGAATAAAAATTTGCTAACTACATCTGAAAATTCAAAAAATTTGTATAATCTTGGATACAATAAATTGATACTCACTTTTTGAATTCACAATGGGTTTAGAATTGGACGAATAGTCGTATTCCTCATATAATTCAGAAGATATTTCATAAATTTCGTCGTCCATGGCCTAAAAACAAAGTTAAATTATGCAAATTGGAAATTCCAATATCAAAATCAAAAATCTTTCATCTTTTTAACGAACTAGAAATTATTATAAAATAAAGGAAATTTTTCAGAGAGCCAAAGGGAATTTCAAATTAGACCACCTAGACCGCCAGTCAAACACCTGTCCCATATACAATAAGCTTTGCCCCTAGGGGTCCAATCAAATATAAATTTCAATTTTTACTAACCTGCATTCAACAAATGCTCAGCAAAGTTATATAAAACTGATTTTGACCAACTGGCGATTTAAACTTGAAACCGAGCCAAATAAATTTGTGAGACGCGATATGATGAGGAAATAATTATTTTCAATGTGTGTAAAAATAGCGATTTCCTCTCTAGACATAAAATAACCGTAATCAAAGGACTTGTGACGCTTCTTTGATAATAGAGTTTCACCCCCCAATGAACAAAAGAAAAAATCTCTATTGCGGCACCTTTGATAAATTTATTATGGCCCTTGGAATTCACATTCCTGGCCTTAGGAGACCTGATTCTACTGGGCACATTGATATAAGGGTATTTATACAGATATTCCGAGGCGAACCTCAACAATGTGAAAAGAAATTTGCTTTATATTTATTTGAGAATGAAAACAGGTAGGATTTTTGTGGGATACTTAGATCGAATAGGAGAGATTCTTGAAGGGATTAATCTTAAGAAAACGAAGTTTGGAATTTTGTCGTTTTGATGGGGCTTTTGGCTGAAAGCTGTTCTTTTTTTTTTTCTTCTAGGAGGCAATTTTTTCAGTTATTTTTGAAGTTTTCTCAGCTTTGAGTAAGAGTTTCTAGTTGATTTCGTCAAGTCAAATCTGGAATTTTGATAGCTGAGTCATTGAGGCTTAATTATTTTGAAACAAAATTTCTTTCTCTATTCATCAAAGTAACTGAGAACGTCTAGTGTAAATTTCACAGTTATACAAACAATATATAGACGTCGAAAATGGATGTTTTAAATGCGATACAAATTATACGCTCGATATTTTATTCCCATACATATTACATTTTCCAGTTAATTTATCCAAATGCATGACAAGAAATCAAATATTCCATAAAAGTAATAGATGGTCGATAAATTTAATGAATGCCTGATAGAAAATTTATATGTTCCTTAGGCCTGGATTATGCATCTCTGGATAAACTTGCTTGTAACTATCTGCACGATAAATTTACCGTTCTACAATTCTATTGGTCGGAGGATAGATAACTGGCTGACCCACCTATCAAATTCATATTTTTCAAGCAAATTTACAAACTTGTAATTTTCTATCGAACAAGTTTACTTATGAATTCAATGAGTAGAAAGACACAAGTAAAGTAGGTAGTACGATAAAAATTGCTTTTTTTCTTATTTTTTTCTACTCTGTTTGTGTCACTTTCTTACTTATTGTATTTATAACATTGCATCGTTTATTGATAAGGGGTATTCATTCAGGCTTAATGACCATCCTAAGTTAGAATTTTTTCCTGACTTTTCGCTAGCACGCGTGGTTAACATCTTCAGAGGTGCTTCCATGTCTGACGCGTTCCCGACCGTAATTTATGTGTGAGTGGCTGTGGTGGGGGAGGGGCGGGGTTTCGCGGCACGTGGCTAATCTCAACTTTCTCTGTAGGTACTCAATGGGATCTTTCTTGCGTTTTTGAGGATCAGGTTCCAGGATTGGTTAAGTTTTAGTGTTTCTTCTTTCCTGTTGAAGTTCTCCGTATGTTTGTGGATTGGTATAGCTTCACGTACAAGACGATTGTGGTATCCGGAAGTCGGTGCAAGAAGCTTGACCTCACCAAAGAGTATTTCATGATTCCCTTCACTAAGCGCATGTTCAGCAACTGCCGATTTTTCCGATTGTCCTAGTCTGCAGTTTCTTTTGCGCTCGTTCATCCTGGTTCCCATGGACCTTTTTGTCGTTCCTATGTATACCTTACCACATGTGCATGGTATACAATAGACTCCAGCGCTTGACAGTGGGTTCCTCTTATCCTTGGTTGATCTGATGGATTGCTGTATTTTCCTTGTTGGCTTGAAGATTGTTTTTATGTTGTGTTTCTTCAAGGCTTTCCCTATCCTGCCTGTCACCAGGGAAATTAAACGCAGATATGCATTAGCCACCACTGGCTGTCATCCAGGTTTTGTCGTGTGGCAGTTTTGAGTCGCATGGCCCTGTCGATTTCAGATGCATTGTAACCATTTGATAGAGAGGCCGGCTTGAGATGATCCAGTTCTTGCTCGAGATATTGTGGACCCAGATGTTCCGAGCACCTTCTGTTAATTATGTTATAAAGCCACGTTTTTGATTTCCTGGTTTTTCTCCTTTTCCATGGTAAATTTTATGCTAGAATGTTGCTCGTTCAGGTGGCCTAGGAACTAGTTAAGCTTCTCTTCCCCATGACTCCATCCAAACTACAAAAGTATCATCTAGATATTGAAGCCATACCGTTGGTTTGTGGTCAAAAGATTCTATAGCTTTCCTCTCGAATTCCTCCATAAAGAAGTTGGCTATGACCTGGCTGAGCGGACTTCCCATAGCTACACCGTCCGTTTGCTCGTAGAAATCGCCCTTCCACAGGAAGGAACTACCAGTGAGACATGTCCGGAAAAGCTCAACTATGTCATTGGGGAAGGTACTTGATATCAATTCAAGAGATTCCGTCGATGGCACTTTTGTAAATAGGGTCACGACATCAAAGCTGACCAGGATATCTTTAGGTTGAAGAATAATATTCCTAATTTTCCGGACAAAGTGACAGCCGTTCACACATAAATACAACTTACGGTCGGAAACGCGTCAGTCTGCTACCAGAATCGGACATGGAAGTACCTTTGAAGATGCTAGCCACGCGTGCTAATGAAACGTCAGGAAGAAATTCCAACTTACGACGGCCATTAAGCCCGAATGAAAACCCCTTATCAATAAACCTGGGCCGCGAAAGCCTCATAAACTTTATCTTTGTTTTTTGTTTTTACGAACAGGTGTTGATAAACGCTAATTAGGCATTCCAACGACTTGTCAAAAGTGTGTCAAAAAGTGCGTTGTGGCAAAAGCTCATTATCCCGTATATGAGAGTATGTAATTTAAAGCTTTTTAAAGTGCATTTTGTGGCTGTTTTGTGAATGAACTCTGTTTATTTTTTTATTTTATTGACTTCATTAGCGTTTCTTCCAATTAAAAATGCCACAAACGGATCTTGAAGTTGATTGTGGAAGTAGTTTCAACAAGGTAACAAGGTTGATGTCAGGCTTTTTTCATTACCCTTTGTTTTAAAATTTTCCAATTAAAACGTGAAAATTTTTCACTACCACTGTTCCTGCATCTGAAATAAAGCCATTTTCGAAATATTCGTAAGAATCTGAGCTTTTGTAGGCCTTCATTTGCTCATTAATTTGAACTGTGGATCAAAATGTCATCTGGACATTTTTTTAAACTAACCGTTCGCCCAGATCCCGATTTTCCTGCATTCAAGTCTTTGAATATTCACTCTGCATCTCAAAAAGTATATTATAACAAAGTATACTGTAATTAGCTTGAAAATATTCCAAATAAACTCAAGATAAACAAACAAACGTCAAATTTTCCACGGTCGCCATATTGAAAAATCACGTGGTTCGGAGAGCCTAATTGTGTATTTGATCTCTCTCAGTTCCACAACATCTGCTATCGCTACAACTGATCACTACACGACAAGTCTGCTACTGACCACACTCGAAATTATTGAAGGATATCCTTTTTATTTAGAGTAGGAGCATAGAGAAACAGACTAAAAAGAGAGTAGCGAATTAAACGAGAGAGATCGGCACCGCATTCCTTTATGCCTGTAGCGCAACGCAGACGTCGCAAAGTTGTCCCTTTATTTATCGCGTCGGGATTCGACCTACGTGCTCGTTTCCGTCTCATTCTAGCAACATTGAAGCACTACAGAAGAAGAAGAAAGAAACAGAACGGTAGATATTTCCATATTAACTGACGCATGCTGATGTTTACGTAGATAAACATAACCTCAGTTCACTTCTAGGAAAAATATTTAAAAAAATAATTTTCTATTTTTCCATTAATTATCAAGTCAACAATTGTAATATAAGAAATGTAAGCAAAGGGCTTCCGAAGTTCCGAGAGCTCTCATAATTGTGTGTCAGGTCAGTGTTGTATTTTTTTATATTGCATAAATAATTACATTATACTTATTACTTGTTTTATTTTTATTATTTTTAGACTGAGGATAGTTCAATGATTTCGTTTTCTATCACATATTTTTTGTATTTGAAGAGGTATTTATTATTAATTTCATTACTATTTATTGTTGATATTATTCGTATTATAAGAGTTATTGTTTTATTTCATTACTACTTGAAGAATTCAGAGTTTGTGTTTATATTTTAAGAGTTATTATTTATTTCATTATTGCTTGAAAAATGCCGCTAATAATTTTCTCAATAAAACTAGCTTGATAAAGAATTAGGTATTGTTTTTTTTTCCCTAAAAATTTCCATTAAAACCAAATAATCTTCAGTACCAATTTAAATTTCCCGCCATGCGTCCCACAAGTTTAGTTCATCCTGTAGCTCACGGAGGCGCTACAGGGATACACTGGTGCCGATCTCTCTCGTTTAATTCGCTACTCTCTTTTTAGTCTGTTTCTCTATGAGTAGGAGGTAACGTTTATGAATAACCAAATACTTTTTGCGAAGGATATGCTCATAGTCTTTAAGTATAAAGTTTTACTCGGAATATTATGAATGTGAGCTGAAAGATTTTCTTTATATTCTGCAAGTATAAGCATAACCTTTTTTATGAATACGGCCCATTGTGGTACATAGTCATACAGATAGTTCGAATCCTTCGAAGCTAATGGATGGAGTCGGTCTGGGAATAACTGGATCAAACTTTAGAGATTAGCTCTCCTTAGCAATGCGTAAAACTCCCACAAAATTTCAAGCTGATGTACTGACCACTGACAAGCTAGAAGAGTCCTCTTAGGAGAGCATATTTACATACTGTCCGACAGGCAAGCGGCTCTTAAGGCTCTAGGAGCCATCAA